CAGCGCGCGGCTCGGCTCCGGGGGGCACAGGCCCCACGCTGCAGGACTTGGGTCGGTACACTAACGGGGTTGCAAGTGAATCTTTAGTTTACTTTCTGATGTGTTATCTTTAGCCACCAAACCGGCGGGTGTGTAAAAGTCTGTCGAGGCAGATCCCTGCCCTGCGCGGCTCCCCGCAGGGCTCCCGGTGGCCGTGCTCCTTGGGGCAGTTCGGAGCCTCACGAGCAAGTCTGGAGAGGACAGGGGTTCGTTCTTTCTGAAAGTGATGATCTGTATCCATGTAGATGCAGCACGCATCTGTCATTTCATTTGCCTCAGTTTGTGTGATTTTGGATTTCCTGAGATTTCTGGATTTTCCTGGTAGCAGTTCTTCCAGTTTTTAACGCTCAGATCCTGCATCATCTAGAAGTGTCATGCTTCAGGAAGGAAAAACAACAAAAAGTGAGATTGATAAAAGCCTGGTTTATCACAAACGTTGGAAAGAACATTAAGAACTAGTGATGATACCTCTGGAGATTTGGGGCTTGCTTTCAGGAGTCCTAAACTGACAGCTAATGGGTAGCTTTCTGCAGCGGCTCTTCTGAGCAGGCTGCAGCCAGCTGAGATGTGGTCACAAAAGAAGCTGCATCACTTATGAAGATTTATTTCAGATTTCATTAACAAATAATTTCTGAGCTTCACAGTAACAAGGTTACCTACAAAGCAGATGTCTTAGTAATATGAAACACCATTACTGAGACTTCTCTAAACCTTCCTGGTGTTTGGAGAAGGCTGGAAGCAATCAGGGCCTAAACAATATGTTTTCAGATTCTGTGGGATACTTAATCTTGATATTAATCAGTGTGCGATCACTGCTTCGAGGGAGACCAGGCAGGGCCCCGGGGCAGATCATTGTTCTTTGATTTAGGACGTAACGTCTCTCGCCTTCACGGCAGACAAGGCGGGTGCTGCTGTTTCTGCTGCCCAGAGCAAAGGGCAGGCTCTGCGTTACGTGTCCCTGCACAGAGGAGGACCGTGTCCGGTGTGTGTTTCTCGAGGAGGTCTGCCACCTGAAGCCTCAGACCCAGGCTCTAACAGCCTAGGATATGTCAGGTAGCATCCAAAGCAAATACACCTGAAGGCTAGAAGAGAAAGAGAAAGATAATTCTTCCCTTACCAATCACCAGCTTTTGTTTACTTTATTGTATTTTACAAATGTCAGCTTTTTTTAAACCCTTTTGTATTCATTGTTTTTTGTGTGGCGATATCAGTGTTAGATTTAAATGAAAATGTCTTCTGAATAAATTACCGTGAATGCACTGCATTCAACAGGAACAAAATTAAGCTTAACTAACAAAACAATTTAAAAATGCTTTTCTTGTGCATTTTCTAATGAATTCCATCTTCTTGCCAAATGCACCTTAGCACAACTGAGTAGAAAACCCCACATTTTATTTATCAAATTATTAACTTTCCCTTTTCTACCAGAAAGCATAACTTGTGTAGATGTGTGTGAAGCTATGAAATTATTTAAATAAACGTGTTTAGACACAATATATGTGTTTGTTTAGCAAAATGCACCAGTCTCAGTGCTACAATGTACGTGCTTAATTCTTGTTGGTTGGTAACAGTCCTTTAGAAAATACAAATGCAAACCAAAGATGAAAATCAATGAACAGAAGCTAATGCTTGCCTTAAATCAGTTGTTCATGACTGTGCATCTCTTGTGAAATGAGCAGAAACCCAGGTGTTTCACTTATGCCTTGATTTCTTAGTTTTAATAGTGCTGGTCTGAAAACTGCAATATTCTTAAGAAGGTTTTGCATAACATCAATAACGAGAGGAAAAACCTTAATGCCTGCTTAATAGCATTTGCCCAGGAATTCAATTACTGTCTATTGCCAATATGTTGGCAGCATTAATAATTGCACGCTGGGCACTTCCATAATTTATCATAATGATTTCTGTTATGTATTATAGAAGATTCCTTCCCCCCCCCCCAACAATGCATAAATACAAAAAAGGATAAAATAATTGAGATTGAAACAGGGTGTAAATTCTGATGCTAAGGATTGTGTACTCAGAGGAAATGGGGTTGGTTTCATGATGGAGTTTTAATTTAGATTTTGTTCTGGTGATATAGTCCCTTCCCATGGTACATTACTTTGCATCTGACAAACCACCATCTCCCTCGGTCCCTCATTACAGCTGCAATCTCACTGAGGTTTTTGTTCCTTTTTTAATGTTTAGAAATGAGAATGAGGAATGAGATTCTGACTCCTTAAATTAGGAACATCCAAGGCAGATCTCGTAGGGCTTTTTGCTGTGAATTTCAGGACTTCTCATGTCACTAATTTCTATATCTGTATTTGTAACATTCATCTGTCAAAGGTGGTTTAGAATGAATTGGGTATTATCGAGGAGTGAGTGGAAGGACATAGGAAGGACAGAGACCTGTGTGCCATTAAGGGCACCGAGTAAGGAATATGTATTGACCGAAGTTTTTTTCTTAGGTGATTTCATTTAGAAGAGCACCTTTTTTCTTTTTCTTTTCTTTATTGGGTTGCTGATTGCTTGGGGAGGGTTTGAATTGCTGATTGTTGACAATGACACATTTGTTTCCAAATGGATGTATGTGAAATTATATTTAATGTACCTAGAAGATAAGTAATAGGAATCTGCTTTTAAAAAGAAAAAAAAAAAGCAAGAACCCCCCAAAAAAACAACTCACAAAACCCTCCAAGCAAATAAATTTTTCATTTCAAAGAATCTCCGGGTATGCTTCTGCTTCACGGCTATTGAATTATGGGCTGAGTAACTGCTTTAAAAGTGCATGGGAGCACTTTAGAAGAGTTTTAAGTCAGGAATGTACCATCCATAATGGAAAGATGTAGGCAGAAAGGAGGTAGATAACCAAGTTTGAATAGGTCTAGCTGGGAGCAAGCATCTAGAGCTTTGATTTGTGCTAATATGTTGTCTGGGAAACTCGATTCTGCATCTTCCTCAAAGTGGTGACAACATGGTAATCCTGAAGACACAACGTGATTGTGGTCAGTCTGCTGTCCAGTTTGCCTCTCATTATAATTAACACTTCAAGTGCTTTTCGGGGGGGAGTGTGTGTGTGTCTTTTTTTGGTTTGGTTTGTTTTTTACATCTCTCCTGAAAGCAGTTTTCTTGAGAGCAGAGTTTGCATTTGATAGTTTTTCCTTTATATTGAAATAAATACGTAAATGCTCTCTGGGTTGTGCAGAGAAGCAGTTGTAGCTGGTCTGCAGCGTGCGCATCGTAATCGAATCACAGCAGGATTGCCTTATGAGCCTGAAAGATTTATTGCCCTCAGGGGACCAAAAGTTCCCAACCTGCTGGGGAGCTGGAAATTCCCACCTTGACACCCACACTTGTGCTGGACCTGGCAGGAGAATGGCACTGTCACCTATTCTCTCTGCATCTTTCTTTCTTTGAATCAAAACCGAGGAGAATCCAAATCTCAGTTAAAAGGCAGGTCTTACTTTCATGAAAGCATGATGTGACTTTTATGATTTTAGACAAAGGATCCCACAAAGCAGAAGAGTGGGGTCTTCCTGCCAGATAATGTTTTATGAAATAGGCTGGACAAATGCTGGACCTAATGGGGTTGCGAAATCATGAGCAGCTGATAGAAAGCAAAAATATGTTTCTTATTGTTTTCATTGTTCTAGCACACAGGTAGTCCTTTTAAATAGTGAAGAATTGAGCTTTGTTTTCCTGTAGTTATAGAGCATGGAGTACTCCTGTTCCAGCTTCGTTCTCCTTCAAAAACATATGAGTCCAAATTTAATACCCTTGTAGTTTTTGAAGGGAGAGAGTTTTTCCTTCTATTGCAAATGCTTTCATCTCTTTTTGCCTAAATTAAAACATGCGATTAGGTGAATGGACTTTTTCTTGTCCCTGGCAAATTACCTTTAATTTTGGCAATTAAATAGAAATAGGAATAAAATAATAAGCTGTTCCAAGCAAACAGTAAAGGTACGGGAACTGCTTAATCTGGTGCCAAGCTCCTGCAGAATTGCAGCAAGCAACAATAATCCTGTCCTGCATACTCTAAACTGGGCTTTGATTCTGCATTCAAGTGTCAGCAAACTAGACAGAAGAATGGGGAAGTCAATGTGAATTAAGATGCACACAAGAATTCCATATAATCTCATATACTAGGTGGGTAAAAATGATTTTTCACTGCTATCTGCTTGAGCATATTGGTCTTCTGTCTGTAAAAGGCGAGGTTGTCTCAGCTGACTTAGCTGATTCCAGATCCTTAAGACGGTCAGCTGTACAGCCACTGAGCAGTTCAGTTTGGCCACTTCTTGTCTTTGAAATACTAGTCTTTGCTGCCTATGAAGGTATTTTTTCCGTGAACCGTGTTCATAGATCAAACAAGGTAGGCTGTTGACACAGCTCTTGGCAGAGCCATTCATCTACTTATGTGATGTTCCACTTCACTAAATTAATTTCCTTTCCAGTTTTCAGAGTTGTTAAGCCTTGTGTAAGCAAATGTTTTAAACAACTTGTAAGAATTTCCTCAGTATGTGTTGTAATATTGGTGTTCTGATTTGCAAGGGTCACAAAAGACTTGTATTCATTCACCTTATTTCTCTGACTTTAGCCTAACAGAGGGACAAAAAGACCCCGTGATGAAGAGGAAGAAGAAATCAAAGCACGTCGGAAACAAGCTAGTGCACGAGAGCACAGTCGCCACAGGGAAGAGGAGTCTGTTGCGCTGGAAGAAACTGATGATGATAAGAAGAAACTTCTTCAGATAATTGAGAGGGATGGAGAAGAGGAAGAGGAGGAAGTAAATCACTAGTGTCCTGTGGGAAAGGGGAGGCAGTGGGAAATAAGCAAACACTAAATCACTTCTCTGTGATTTCCATTTCTTACCATGTAGATGATGAGATTTTCACATGCCTCACACAGCTTAAGGTTATGGTTTTACTTTCCTGCCCTGCAGAGTATTCGTTAATTTCAAACGGGCTTCCTAAAGATACCCTCTGAAGGGGTGGGGGGCAAAAGGGAGAGGGAAGGGAAAGCGTTCAAGCCTAATCTCTGTTTTAGGCTGAGAGTACCTAAATCACCTTCTAAAATGCATTTTTAGGAAATAGTTTCTGTATTCTAACCAGTTTCCTAACTCTCTTATTCTCATCAGTACCCCCAGCCGTGCAGCTTCTCCCACTCTCCCCCTCTTCGTAGCTGTGCAGCAGCAGCAGCAAATAAGCAAACATCCTTCTACACCAGAAAGGCCTGGGGTCAGAGGAGGGGGGTAGCAGCTGTCAAGGGTAAATGATTTCAAGCTTTGGAGACAGAAATCCAATGCAGCATTGGCCTTTCTGCCAAGGGCCAGGGAAAAGATCACTTTATAAATGTGACACATGGATTGGTATAAATCTAGAAGATACTTGCTTCCTGCTGCCTGTGTCCTGTTTGATAAAAAAACAAGTGATACTCACAACTGCAGAATCATGTAGGTTTGTAAAATATCATTGTCCTTTTTATATAGCATTGCTAGCATTCGTCTCTGAAAACCTCCCTCGTTTTTTTGATGTTGAGCTATTGCCATTACAGTTGTTGCTGATAGCGGAGAAAGATAATGCAGGATTTCTGTAGCATTTGAGCTCCAATGAGGATGAATGGACGTAGCCAAAAGTCCTCTTGGCTGGCTGGAGGCTTGTGGATTCCTGCAGTGTACAAGTTCCTTGTCTTTGTCAAGTGGAGTTCTCCCATCCAGGCATTTTAAGGTCTGGAAGTCCAAGGTTTCTTTAGAACCCAAATCTCTTGTTTATTATCTTGGAATGCAGTTAATGTAAGTGCCATCAAAACACGCTTTGTACCAGTAAATTTGATGGAAGGAAGCTAATCTGTAGGACACTGTAGTACTGAATGCAAATTAAATACAAGATATAAAGCCGATCCTAATGGAGATATTGTAGTGATGTATGTTAGAGAAAGCAAAGAATCAAACAAAAGAGAGAGAAGCAGTGTCAGCATGTGTGACAGTAACTTCGTGGATTGAAATCCCATTGCAGGAAGAATATGGTTTGGGCACTGTAGTGTTCATTACCTGAATGGGATGGTGACATGAGTGGGATGGTGCTAAGACAGGTTGAGCTTGAGAACGTAGGAAATCCAGTAATAATGGAGGAATTGGACTGGTGTTATTATTGTAATGGAGTTTGCTGAAGAAATAGAAATTTTCTATCTCGTACAAGATTGCTGCTTAAAGTCGCTAACCAAAGAATCTTCAACACCAGAAGCAACTCTTGATTTAATCCTGAACAGGAGATGGGACACAAAACTTGGCTTAAGATGTGAAGGGGTCTGGTTTGTTTTTTTGTGAGAACTTCTCTTTAATAGTGATTGTAACATAGTCAAATAGAGGAGAGGGCAAGAAAATCCCTATCATCAATGTTTTATTAAAGGAAGTGCATTAAAATTATGAAACAAGGAAAATAACACAATTGTGTTTGTAGGTGTCAGGGAGGTAGCTAAAGTTATATTACTGCTGTACAGTAAATGTATAATGCCAACTGAGAAACACCTTAGAAGAATTTAAAAAATAAGAAGAAAGTACTAGAGTAAAATATTGATTTTTTTTTTTTTTTTTCTTTCTTTAGAAAAAGACTTTAAAGTAGAAATGAAAGCTTATCCAAGTGAGGAAAATAAAAAAGAACGTAAACTCAGGACAGTTAAATGTAGACCTACAAAAAGAAATAGCACAATGGACTTCTGAAAAGAAACTATCCACGGGCATAAACTACTAATGCAGATTTACTCTATTATGTCAGAAGCAAAACGCCTCAGTACGCGCTGACGGTGCCACATAATAACAGGTGTAAAAGAACAGCTCAGGGAAGATGAGCCATTGCAAAACTGGGGTTTTTTCATTGATACTCGGTTTCAGAAAGTAAAGGGAAGCTCTTCTGGTTCTTTTCCAAAGAACCTTCCATTGGTAAACCCCTGGTTTATAAAAACCCGACTTACAAGGTTTTGCTTTGGGGAGCTTGCCCAGGTCAGAGTTGGAGTAAATCAAAAATGAATAGCAACGGTGTATGAGTTTTTTGGCAGCTTTCTGCAGTGAGACTCCCAGGGGTTGCCGTCTGTTCCTGAAGGGTCTGGGTCTGAATGCAGTCTTACCACGTCACGGTACTCGCTTTTTGCGTTTTGCCGGGTAATTGTTCCAACCATCCAAAGCTCTGTTTTCTGCCCTTTCCGATTTGGTTAGGAGGAACCTTTGGATGAAAGTTCAGTGAAGAAGATGATTCTCACCTTTGAGAAGAGATCTTACAAAAACCAGGAGCTGCGGATCAAGTTTCCTGACAATCCAGAGAAGTAAGATTGTGCTCGGCCCCTCTCTATTACCCTTTTTTCCTTTGATTTTAGGTTTCAGCCCTAAATCAATTTCCTGAATATACAGACGTTTTCAGTTACATAAGGCTTATGTAACAGCAGTTGTTGCCATGTAGTTTTTCTAAATTGTATTTGAAACTAACTTTGTTAATTAAAAATGGCATTATCAAGACTCCGGTGGTGGCTGGTATATGGCCGGCAGCACGAAGAGAATAATTAGCAACAAAGGGAAAAGTTCTAGTTTATTAAATTCTTGCTGTTGTTAATATTACAGATTGTGAAACTTCAGTACTAAAACTTGAGTTTATGTTGGTTTTATTCAATAAGGTTTTGTTAGTTAGTATCTAAGTAAATGGCTTGGTTCTCAAAAGTGAGCACTAACGAGCTCTCCCAACATCAGTCCTCTCGGCAGTGGGCATCGGAGGGTCATCAGCCACGCTGCAGTTCTCTCGGTTTTCAGGGGGCTCCTCCTCTGCACTGTTTCCGAGCAGTGGTCTCTTCCTCACTGATAGGCAGGTGGTAGGTGTTTGGGGGGTGGGCTGAAAGATTGAGATCCTGCATTGGTGAGCTTTGCTTTCCAAATGATTAAAGATTTCATGCCATCATTTTTTGTGATGGTGTTGTGCTTGCATATGCAGTCAGCGGTCTGTGTGGGAAGAAAATAATTTCATGTTATGGAGCTTTCAGATGCTGTGGTGAGCAAAACAGCCGGATGGGGTCTAAAAGCCAGACTTTGTGTGTGTCTCTTTCCACACCTGCGGTTCTAGTGAGCCTCTTCCTCCTTTCATGGAGTTTTGTTTTTCAAGTTAAATGAATTTCTTCCAACATTCGAGTGCCATTATTTTTTGCACGGTTTGCTGTTCTTTCCTTTACCAAAATTCTTTTTATGGACTTCTCTTCAGACTAATACAACCCACATACTAATATGTGGTAGCTAGGGAAGGCCATTGCTCTGGAGAATTTATTTTATGTGCAGGGTTTTTTTCATGTGTAGCTACAACCTCTTGTTTTTTTTTTTTAAACTTTTTTTTGAAGTTCTAGAACTGATTTACAGAATTGGAACAAATCTGCTTATTTACTCTATGTAAATTATATAGTAGAAGGGCTTATCAGACTACGTGATTAAACTTCAAGGGACCGGCATAGGACAGGATGAGGCACAGACTGCCTCTAGGAGTTCTGGACTCGGTGACGTTGACGTGACCACAGAGGATCAGAAGTGCCGGGGCCACGTGCAGCTGGGGTGACAAGTCTTGCCCGGTATCTCCTGGAAGGTGGTGGTCTCTGTTTTGAAAAGGGCTGTGCATTGAACACAACTGATGTGTTCTTTTTGCCTTTTTATTAACCATTTTTGTCTTGCCTCAGGTTCATGGAGTCCGAACTGGATTTAAATGACATCATTCAGGAAATGCATGTGATCGCAACGATGCCAGACCTGTATCACCTGCTGGTGGAGCTGAACGCTGTGCAGTCTCTCCTCGGCCTGCTGGGACACGACAACACAGATATCCTTCAGTTGTCAAAGCAGCTCTCATGTGAGAGGCTTTCTACAGACTTTTCTGTAATCTCTTGTATCCTGCTTTCACAGGCTCATGTATATGTTTTTCTCTTCTTTCCCACCGCACTGAATTTATGTCTTTTTTTTTTTTTTTCCTGTTTTCAAGTGAAAGCCGCCTTTGTTCAAGTAATATTGATTCTGAATTTTTTCAGTGCTGTTATTCTCCTTTCTTGTTTTATGACCCTTTCATCTAGGTTTGAGTGGCTGCATTAGAGTGTGAGCAGGTGAACAATACAGGAAAAGCTAAGGTATGGGCTTAGCGTATAGGCTTGAACTGTGTGCAAACTTTGGCTGGAATAGCCCCCAGTAAAAATGAAACTGATGTACCCCTTTTTGTTGAGAGTTGAGCTGTCACGCTTTCAGCTATCTGCCATGGACTAGCTCACCACAGTACTACGCCTTAGTTTGTAAATGTGATACTCTTCATGTGTCCATACCTTTAATTTGGTGTGCTCAAAGCTTGAGGTTGTGGGTAGCCCCTCTGGTTACGTAAATATCCAGAGACACTTCCATGCTCAGTTAGTTCTTGTGTCACTGAACCTGATCCCTATGTGCACCTGTTTCTTGTTCCTCTGAAGGTCTGAGAACATCTCAGAGAGAGTTTTCTGTCTATACCGTTAAAGATTTTGGTAGTTCTGAACAAAAACAGTGTCAGTTTTTGAATATCCTGGTGCCTTGATGCTTAGCTGTCAGCTGATAGATAGAACTATGCCTGGCTTACCATTGTGCAGTCTTTAAAAGTAAAGCTGTGTGTGTCCTGACAAACATTAGTGAATGCAGGGAGCACTGAAGCCCAGTGGAAAGGGCACTGGACCTAGACTTGGGACTACAGCAGGCTTTTCTTTTTTCCTTTTTATTGATTCATGACCTTAGGGAAGTAATTTATTCTTTACTTCTTTTCTTTATGTGTAAAGAAGTAGATAATACTTACCAGCTTTCCTGTTTTGAAATATGCAATGTTAAAAGGACAGTTACTGCTAAATGTTGTGGTCCAGAAGTAGATAATACTTACCAGCTTTCCTGCTAAATGTTGTGGTCTGATGCACAGATCTTGGTTTTCTTTTTTAGCACTTTTCCTTATAGTGCTATTTATTAAGAATTCATAATTCATTCTTTCTAAGTTGGTGCAGTGATCAGAAGATAAAAACAAAATGTAAATATTCTATTGCATACCAGTTTATATTACCCAAACACATAAGCAGTGCTTTCTGTTTTGACTTGTATCTAGCTGAACCTTGATGTGGTGAATGCATGTCCCTGCAAAACAGCAAACATCACAGCTTTCCTTATCTGTGATCTGTAATGGAAATTACTCTCAAGTAAATGTTTGTTAACAATTTACTGTTGTACAGTGGGAAACACCTACCATGCATAACCAGTTTCATGGCTACCATAATTCCATTACTTATTTTTTTCACCAGACACCGCAGGCTTTTTGTGTACTATGTGCATGGCGTTAAAAGCTTATACTGAATTTCTCATTCACAGGGAAAATATAAACTATGGGGATTTTGACAGGGATGCTGGAGTGCACAGGAATACAGCTTGCTTTGTCCTTTCAGCCATGAAAAGCTGTGTCCTAGGGTCACTGCTGCTGTCAAAGACTTGTCAGTATTTCCACTGTGAACTCTTTTTAATTGGTTTGCAACTTGCCTGTCAGTTAGTTTACGGGTAGAAATTTGGCCTGTGAATTGCAATTTTGGGAAAAGTATATTTCTTGTTATAAAACTGCTGAAGTGTTTTCAGATCCATTGGAAACAGGACACAGGCTGTAGTAATGCTTCTTCACTGTACTGCTGCTGCTTATGTACAGGATAGAAACACTATTAAAGTGAAGCATCTAGACATAAAACTAAATTGATACAGCTCAAGTTTTCTAATGACTTTTTGTTAAACCAAATGGAAAAAGATTTAAAAAATGAGTTCTTCAAGGAGAGAACTAAACAAATGGCTCTTCAGTTGTGATTTGAATGTAGTGTCTTGAGGGACTAATGCAAGGAGACAAAAGCAATGTCCAGGGGGAGCAAATAATCTGCTGAATGATTCATGCAGTTTTACACAAAACTTGTGAATGAAGATGATCACCGACAAGATTTTATTAGTGAAAGATGAGGTTTTGCTTTTCTATCTCCTAAATTTTATAGGACAACTGGTACTTTCACTGGAAGCCTCAACAGAAGCTCCCTAGTGAATGCCCTGCAAGATGAACTCCTCTGATTGCTAGAGTTCTTTGCTGTGCACTCTCAGAAAAATCTGGCTCAGTTGTCTGTATAGCACCCAGTAGACAGCAGTAGTCTTCAGTTAGTTCCTCTCTTAGCCTTCTCTTCTTTGGGTTGATCAAACCTCATTCAGTCTTTCCTCATACATCATGTGCTAGTGTATGAGTCCAGTATGTCAAGGTCTCTCTTTTATTGTCAGAGCCCACAACTGAACAAAATACTCTACGGGTTGTCTCATGAATGCCAAGCAGCAGGTAAGAATGCCTTCTCTTGACCTGCTGGTTTTGCTCTTGCTAATGCAGTGCAGTCTGTGATTAGCCTTCGTCACTGCAGTGGCACGCTGCTGACTCACCTCCAACTTGTCCATCAGAACTTCCAGATTCTCTTCTGCAGAGCTTACCTCTCCAGTCAGCCCCAGCTTGTTCCCTCCCAGGTACAGGACTTTGCATTTGTTGAACTTCATGAGGTTCCTATTGGCCCGTTCCTCCAGCTTTTGTTAATTAATAGTCGATTCCTTGCAGAACAAATGTACGGCAGGTTATTTTCTTCTAACTTGCTTATTGAGTCGCACTCCAGCTTGCTTTTAAAAATTGTACCCTGGCACCTTTGACCGTGTTTTTGTATAAGCACAAGGGACTGTCTGCCCAGTGAGGAGTAATCACCCTTCTGTTTGGTTCCCGATGGCAGCTGCAATTAGAAGTGACATCTGCCCATCAAGAAAATGTACAGATAGCTTTGGCTTGGTTAAGGAGTGCTGTAGAGTATAAAGAGAGTAGTAGTCTTACTGATACACATCTTCTGCAGCACCTAGACATAGGTTAACTTGGGACTGGGACAGGCAGCTCTCTTACAGTCTTTCCTGAGACTAGTAAGTCATGACTGAAACCTTGCTAAGAAAAGATACATGAAAATACTTTTCCTACTGCTTCTTGTGTGTCTGAGCAAATGCACAAATAGGAGAACTGAGAGGCTGGATTGTTAGCCTGTGCATTTTAAAGAGATTCATCACCAAGTTGTTATATAGGACATGCAGAAAACTGCATATCCTGTTCTACCCCAGTGGGACTCGGGCAAGATTAATCAGTGTGTCTGAGAGAATAGGAAAGTGGGTCTAATGAGGTGGAATACGTCTCGTCGTACAAGAGAGCTGTGTAGCAGTCAGGGGAACCGTGTGTTAGGCAGCCCAGAGTTAATGAGTGAAAATTGGGCTGGCAGAAGCTATGCTGTTCCTGCGAGGTCTGCGGTTAGAGGAGCATGCCGTCCTAATTGGGCCAGGCAGAAGGGGGTGGTCGCTCCTGCTTCCTGCAGTGGCCTTGTTAGGTGCGTGCCGTATCAGGTTAGCAGGGGTGTCACTGAGAGCAGAATACCCAAATCAGATTATTATAACTCATTTCTCTTTACTTATATTCAATCTTGACAATGCAAGATGGTGCCTAGTTATACCAACTCTAGCAATTTTTATTTGAAAAAATTAAAAAAAAAATCATAAAGAAGCAGTAAAATTGCCTGATACAGTAAGCATACAATCACATTTGTTTTTATCATTCCTAATTGTTAGGATTCCCTGATTTTGGTGCTTATGAGGACTGTCTGCTGAAGTAGTCTCTGTGCTCTTGGCTCTGGCGTTCCTGTGCCCCGTTGCCATAAGGTATTACCAGTTGTTTTGGATCGTGTCATGAGCACGCTGGCCTAAGAGAAATCTGCTTTTGATATTAAATGTGTCTGCCTCTGTGTTGGTTGTCCTTAACACCTAGCACATGTTTCCATAGCTGTGGTAGACTTGCTTCAAGAACTGACTGATATAGATACTCTCCATGAGAGTGAAGAAGGAGCTGAAGTCCTCATTGACGCTCTAGTAAGTAGTAAACTTCAGGTTATTTTAATGCCGGAACAACATCTGCCTTACACAGCACAGCAGCGAATGCTCTGAACTGCTACACTTTCTGCAGCTGTGGTTATCCATATTGCCAACACCACGGTGAAGTTAGCCGGGTCAGGAGCCAGCTCTCTTGTAGCTGAAATGCTGTATTGAGGACCACGACGGGTGTTTTTAATGGAATGCCAGGGTTTGGGGAGTAGGTTCTTCTTGCACCTTGTCTGCCACTTCTTTTTTTGCTCATATTGCAAAATTTGCGTAGGCTGGGATATTTTTTTGTGCAGGGAGGGAGAATGAAGTAATATTTGTGACTTGGACAGTATCATACTGAAAATAGGAGCTTGATTTGCATTTTTCTTCCTTCTTGTGGAAAAGGTTGACCGCTGTTCACTCATGAAAAATTGAAGTCTGTGGCAGGGCTCAGATTGTTATCTGAAGGACAGCGGAGCCATTGTGATCTTTCAGTCTAACCTCTTGCACGGGAGACCAGTACTCTTCTACCCAGTAACTCTTGTTTCAAACCCAAAAATCTGTGCTTGAACTGGGACATCTGTTGTTATAGTGAGGGTATGTGTTTTTCTTAACAAAAGGTAAAAGCGTGAAAGTTTTTGTGTAACAGACCTAACACATTTTAAGGGTGGAGAAGGGTTTAGAGATAATGGTCTTTTTTGGCGTAGGGATTAGACAACCCCAGAAAATTATCTACGTGCAGTAGAAGATGCGTTGCTCGGTCTTAAGTGCTCCCTGCCTGGTTAACTCTCTTGAGTGCCTCTTGGCCTCCGTGGTGGTGGGCTTCCCCTTTTCCTGGCGTTTGCGCTGGATGCCTCCTGCTCCTTGGCTGCGGGAGGAGGATGCCGAACCGAGCACAAGCCCTCCAGAGAACTGATGCCCAGCAAAACTTGAGATATACATGTTTGTCCTACCTTTGGGCAGCTTCTGCTAGTGAACTGCTGCATTTGTGAGTCACTGTGGCCTGTGTCTTGTTCTGTAACTATTATGTTGAAATTGAAAGATGGGGAATTACGGGTTTTCTTTTGTTTGCTTTGTTTGGCTGTTCTGTTTTCTCCCACAATCATTCTTGTCCAGTCACTATAATGTTACCTTCCAAAGGTTAATGACAGTGGCCCGGAGCTGAGTTCCTCCAGCTGGCCTCTGGGCTGTTCTTAATTACTCTGCCTTCATGGAAAGATTGCTGGATGAATGGAGTGGTAGAGAGGAACTGCTAGAGAAGATGTTTTCTATCAAATGTGCAGAGAAGTAGTAAATCAAGCAAAGTTCTTTCTGTTTTCCTTGTCACCAGCCCACTGATAATAGCCAAGTTTTAGAGGTTTTATTGTCCTCTTTGAAAGAAACAGGTCAGGCATATCTTGGGAGAAATGTTTAGAGGCCTGCTTTTTAGATTACTTTTTTTTTTTTTTTAAAGAAGGTAGGTATAATGTAGGGTATCTGTGAAGATTGTTGCACTACCTTCCACAGCAGCTGATACTTGTATTTTTTCCACGTGTTCACTGGACCCAAAGCTAGTTAACAGTGGTTGAATTGGAAATGTTATTTTGTTTAACTTTTCCAAGCTTATGTCTGCAATGGAAAGTTAGCCAAAGGCAAGCTGGACTCTGTCCAATTGCAGCTTTAAAAGCATACTTCTTGTGTTAGCTTTTTGAGTAGGAGGCTCCACCTGCAGATGTGGGTTCCTGCTCCTGCTGTTGATTTGTCTGGGTTTCGTTAGCTTGCTGAAGTCAACTTGTACATTCATCTTGCTAGGATTTAAATGCAAGGCTTCAACTGGTGGATTTGAATCTGCATGTGTGAGCATTGTTCCTTCAGCTTTTTGTACCCATTAAGGTGGAAGATATAACAAAAAAAAAATGTAGGCAGACCAGCAGTAAACAGTTGAAAGTAGAGCTGCTTGCAGAGCTGACAGCTAACCTATCCGTGGTGGTTTGTGGTGCCTCGCACTTAAGAATTCTGAGGGATTATAAATCAATCAGGCTGGTTCAGAAAATAAGACTGTGACAAGGTGCATGTTTTCCTCCAGATGTTTTTTTGTTTAATCTGAAACACAAAAGTTGTTTAATTAATTAGGACAAACATAGCGGCAGATTTACTTGGTGAATCCTTCACTTCCTCTGAGATTTTAGAGCAAGATTGTTAATGTCTTCTGGTCATGTCTGGCAGGATGTTTCAGTAGGGCTTATTGATATTTATTATTTAGTAACCCTCCCTGTTTTTTCTCCTTCATCTTCCTTTTTTCAGTCTGTCTTACCTTTTTATTTTTCTCATGATCCCGGTGATGTAGGTGGAGGGCCAGGTTGTGGCCTTGTTGGTCCAGAATTTAGAGCGCCTGGATGAAAGTGTGAAGGAGGAAGCTGATGGTGTCCACAACACACTGGGTAAGTGGCTATTGCACAGCCTCTTGCCTCTTCCTGTATTTCGTACAAAGTGGGGGTGGGTTATCCCTCCCCTTCCTTTCCTCCCTGCCTTCTTTCCCCTTCATCTGCCAGCGCTAGGGTAGAGGACCTAGTGCAGCTTTCGTTCAAGCACAACTTCAACTCACAGTAAAGCCCAGTCCCTTTAGCCAGCATTTGTTGCATGACTGCTGGTAAGGTGCCTCTTCCCAAAGCGGTTATGTAGGGAGGTGCCGGTACACGGATGAAACTCTGCACTGCACCAGAGGGTGTGCTCTACTGCCTGTGTATTTACTATGTACTTATCTGTCAGCTCCACTTGCTCCGTTATGAGAGCTGTTTATGTCTTAGCAATATATTTAACTCTCAAGGAGTAAACCATTTGTATTTCATATAAGCACATCATTACCTCTCTGTTCCCCAGTCTTTGCACAGCACAGTAACTGCTTTGCAGTGTGTCGCCGTTATTAGCATTTAGACCATCATCCACTCCTTTCAGTCATTTGGGATTGTAATCTCCCGAGGATTGGGAGAATGAGAGAGACTGGAAACGAGAGTTTTGGAATTTTTGCTGCCGCTGTTGTTGTTAGTTTAGTTTTGCGCAGTGAGAATTGCTGCTGGAATAAAGGGAAGGTATCTCGGGCTTCTTCCAGCAGGAACTGGTGTTACACTGAGGATGGACTGTGTGGGCAATGTGAAAACTGAGAAAGTATCACAGACCTGAGCTTAAGACTCACTCAAAAAAAAAAAAGGTAGTTTTACGAATAAGATGTAACTTCGAGAAGAGCAGTGCAGCCCTAGGAAGGACCTGGCAAAGCAGTGTAACCGCAGGTGGGGAAAAATGACTGTTTTCTGTGCCTTTCTTCTCAGCAATCGTTGAGAACATGGCAGAGTTCCGACCAGAGATGTGCACAGAAGCTGCGCAGCAGGGCCTCATGCAGTGGTTGCTCAAGAGGCTGAAGGTGAGCTTGTTTTCCTGTTGTCATTTGGGAGATATCATAGTAAGAATGGACAGGCCACTGGACTGGAAGCTGGTGTGCTTGAGATGGTGTTTGGCACAACATTAAAGGCCCAAGGCTATTTATTGTTGGCTCTTTCCATTTGCATAGGTATCTTTGTCACAAGTTCTAACATTTGTGGATACAGTGAATTCAAAACTTGCCTCAAACTGGGAAGTATGTCCCTTTTAACTTATTATAAACTAGAAACATTGAAGGCGTTGGCTTTATGTGTAAGAAGCTTTACACAATGTGATGCAAGTCTGTGAGTAGTACTCTCATTTTCGTACTGTTTGCCTGGAAGAGTATGTGTAATGTTGAGTCTTCTTGAATGTCTTTGGGTTTTACTTGTTTCCGTGGGAGTTCTTTTTGGTAACATGTCCCTGATCCTGCTGTGAGAACTATGGTCTTTTCTGCAGAATTGGACCCTTCGCAGCGCTACAGAACAGCGCTTGGGCTCCAACTGCTGATGTGGTCGTCCCCAGTAGCTGCCATACCACTGCGTTCCTAGCTCAAGCATCAGTAGTGCTAGAGCTCTGCCAGCGCCCGCCTTGCTTCTATAGGCCAATTCGTATGAACTTAAAACATCGCTTAAAATAAGCCAGTTTTGCACGCATATGTGTGTTGGAGAAGCCAAGTTAAGGACAAAAAGTTAGAATTCAGGGTTTGTATCCTCAGGGTTTTAGTTTAAATGAACATACTTCTGTCTTGTCTTTATATTGTAAACGTCTTATGGTAGAAGGTGTCTTTTTTCTGTTACTATGATTCCTGTATGGTGGATTTCTGGTCCATGGTTGAGACCCATAGGAATATAAAAGCTGACCAGTGAGCGGGGAAACTAATAAAGACCATTTTATGTCTTTGCTTCCTACGTTTCTAACACTTTTTTGCGTTTCAAGTGGTGTCTCTGTTTAACTGCTGCTGGTGGTGGCTTTTTCTTTGAACTCATCTAATTGCCTTTTGAATTCAAAATTACTTTTTGATACTCTTAGCATCCTGTGGCAGTGAGTTACACAGTTTAACTCTGTCTTGTGTGAAAAGATGCCTAAACATTTCCTGGAAAATACTGTAGGAAAGGAATGGATAGTTCAGCTCTCTTACAGAGCTAGTGAAGGAAATTTAGCAAACAGATTCTGGCTTTTTCCTAACCGTATTTAGGCATTAGCACTTCCATACTTGAATGTCTTTATGGTTAGAAGGCCTCTGAATCACAGAAATACTCTATCAGCTTTGTAAGTGTGCAGATACCCCTCTGTGCCCCTCATATACTTGTTAGCAGAAGTAACCTATAATTTCTCACTACAGGTAGTAACATAATTATATTCCTTTTGCTTAAAAACAAAAAGTGAAGTTACTTTTATTCCAGGCAGGTATGTACTGCTGCCTGCCTTGTAATTACTCTGGCAGCTGAAAGACTTAGAAACTTGGGAAAGCAAAATAATCACAACTTGGATTCCCCTGCTTGGTGCCACAGAAAATGAATGTTCAAGGCGTTCAAAACTTGGTGCTGAATGTCTCTTTCCGTTGCCCTGGCATGTGCTAACTTTGTCTGGTTTTGGGGATGTGTGATCAGGCAGTGCTTTTTCTTGGTTACACGCTGTTGTCGTGGGGAGCCGCACGCTAATGAAACTCTCGCCCAGGTGCCTTCGCTATTGGCAGCCCTTGGTCTTGAATCTCTCGCCCTGCCAGATGTGGTTAGGATTAAACCAGGATCTCAGCATCTGGGTAGAGCGTTGTGCTGCTGAAGAATGTCTATGGGATGAGTTTTAGAGTTGGGGTTCTCTCTAGGCGTCGGTAAGAACATCTGGCACACAGCACAGAGTGTGAATTTCTGTTTTCTGACTGCATTTCAGGTTGCGTAATTATATTCTGGCCGTCAGAACTGCCTCGAAAAGCTCGGGTGAGAGCTTAATAGCTCACTTCTCCAGACATAAGCAGGGTTTGATGATGTTGTGTGCAGCCTTGAGAGAACAGAGCATTGTTTCCTGACGCTTCCTAACGCTTGCTGTAGGACAGCAGTTGGTATGCACTGAGACAGGAGCCAGCAGAGCTGTACAGCACCGAGCGCCTGCCACCTTCCCCCTCTTGTGCCTGATTGCTTGCAAGTGTTATGTGGTTGCTATAAATACCATCATCTACAGAGTGGTTGGGGATCGTTTGGAATGAAAAGCTTTATTTAAAGTCAATACTTTGTGACATTTGGGATCTTCCTGCTTTTCACGTTTTTGTGCTGCATGGTACTTGTGTATTGTGACCTTTTCTTTGGTAGCAAGTCGGGATAATTGGCCCATGCGTAGCCTTGCGCAGGCAGGTTCGCTCAGTCAAGCTGCAGGGAAAAAAATTGTGGGTGACAAATGGTATGGTTTAAGCCTAGTACTTATTGCTTGCTTTTATTTTTTTCTTCTCCTCGAACAGTGGAATACAAATAGCTGGTAACTGATGATTTTTAAAATTGTTTTGTTTATTTTATAAATTACTTCAGCAAACCAGTTTGCATTATTATCTGATGGGTTAATGTTTAGTCTGTTTCTGTAGATGAAGCAGTTTTGGCAGCGTGCAAAAACATTGGATCCAGTTCAGAATCCCACTTCAGGGATTTTTTTTTTTTCTTCTGAGGGGAAAAAAACCTCAGCATTTTGGTTTCATTGTGGTTTTTTTGTTTTTTTTTTTTAACATGCTTGAATATGGAGGGAATGCATGAAATGAAAGTTATGTGACTGTGCAGGCTAAACCAATCTCACATCCTTCTGATTGTGACATTGTGATCCTCATACAAAACTCTGGCAGTTACTCTTTAATGTTACTGTGATGTGTTTTCTGAAATTCTGTTTTTGGTGGCAGGTTCAGACTTTCAGAATAGGGATATGCTCATGCACTCATATAACATTATGGTAAATTTATGACAGGAAAGAGGTGCCGTATTGCAAACAACTGGAGACTGTTCTTGGGTGTTTTGAGCCAACTTGGTCAAACCTACTTGTGTAGGACAGCATGAAAGATCAGAGCTGAGTTTCTGCACAGGCGTGCCTGAGCGCACACACAGAGACATAAATGCACCCTGCCCATACCCCGTCACCCCTGAATCAGAGAGAATTATTACTGTTTTGTCACTGAGGCATACTGCAAAATTACCACTGTTGTATTTTGGTTGAAGTGTTGCTCATACGTTCGGTGGTTTGATTAATGTGTTCTTCAAATCAATGAAACACAGAGTGCCGTGCCCTGACGAGCCTCTTGTTCCTTCTTCACCAACAGGCTAAGATGCCTTTTGATGCCAACAAGCTGTACTGCAGTGAGGTGCTGGCTATTTTGCTCCAGAATAATGATGGTGAGACATGCCTCTGGTATCGATATTCTGTAGAGTAGGATCCAGCCTCCTTTCCGATCACAACAGCACTCTTCTGCCTTCGGCTTCCCTTTGCTTCTGCTCGCTCTCCCGCGCGCGTGCTCTTTCGCATACGCATGCGCCCTCTCTTTCTCTGCAGCTTTTGTACTCTGTCAAGCCGTATTGATTTTGTTCACTGATGTATCGGTGTTAGATGGCTGTAAAATCTGACAGTTAGCTTCATTTTTCTCTCTCTTTTCCCCCTTCCCCCCACCTCCGTCTAGACAACAGAGAATTGCTTGGGGAGCTGGATGGGATCGATGTGCTGCTTCAGCAGTTATCTGTGAGTAATTCACAAACGCCCTCTCTACTGTCAGGAGGCTCGCAGGCTGGGTGTGAGGAGGTGGAACAGATTCTGGGTGTAGTGCTGTCCTAGCTATCTGTAGATACTGAAGCAAAGCAGTGCTTTATATTTAATGGTGGCATAGTCCTGAATAACTTCCACGCAAGTGGTAAGTGAGGTTAACATTGAGGTACGCAGAAGATAAATTACTTTGTTATAATTGCATGGCAAGTTGGAGATTAGGCAGGGTTGGAATTTCCACTTCATTTTCCATTCCAAGCACTGGGCTGCATTGTGCCTACATTTGAGCTAGCTGAAGGTAATGTGTTCATAGTTCACTTATATTTCTTGAGGTAGTACTGTCTGCAGCACCCTCAGGTATGCGTTGTGCCTAGGAGTTCTCTGGTAACAAGCTTATCCACATACTTTTGTGAATCGCGCAATTGGTGAATTTGCCTTTCCCTTTGGAGGCCCTGTGTTGTCTTTAAGGTATGCATTAGACTGCTGCACGTTTGTTGGTATACAGTCAGGGCAGTAAAAAGGGCAGCAGAGTTACAAGAGAGAATGCATCAGTGGTGTGTATGATTGCTGGCTTATGCATATCAGATGCTGAAGGCTTGTTATGTAAAATGTTCATGTACACTCTACAATGGTGTGGACCAAACTGGGCCCTCCATTTTGGGGTAATTTTGCTTTCTTTGTCATGCAGGTGTTTAAACGACACAACCCTAGTACAGCAGAAGAACAGGAAATGATGGAGAACCTGTTTGACTCCCTTTGCTCCTGCCTAATGCTCAGTTCCAATCGCGATCGCTTCCTGAAAGGCGAGGGTCTACAGCTGATGAATCTGATGCTTAGGTACCCAGATAACTTTGTGATTTTCTTGCCTGCTTTTGATGTACCAACACATGTTCTGGCTAGATATTTCTGTTCTTCCGTTTATAAGATTTCTGTGTTAGCATATTTGTCTGTCTTCTCTTTCTTTTTTCCCAGCATGTAAGTTGGACCTTCTCAGACATATAAGCTCCACTCTTTGTCTTTAGCTCTGTTTCCTAAGAATTGGGGTTACTACAATAGCTGCTGGAAAGTAACAGTGCAGATCTGTGTGGCAGACCCAGATGAAAGAATGTTTTAGGTCAGGCCACTAATCCTCTAAGGATTTAAAAGACTCCTGTGAGGGTAAGAGAGAACGTTTGGATCTCTCTAGGGAAAATGTTTTTCCTTTTGTTCCCCAGTTCAAGCTTCACTGTGTTGTGTATCCTCTGAGCTGGTGAATTTTTCTGGATATTGATACAAAAATTGCTCTTGTGAAATGGGCATAAGTATGCATTTCTTCTTGTGACATGTTTTGTCACACCGTAAATCTCCGGGGCTTCTCTGCTCTTTCTTCACTTTTACTTCCTAGCCTGGTACTGAATTGTGTCTTCTGCGCTGACTGGCTTCCTCCAGACCTCAGGACTGGGCGCGGCGGGGCTCTGTCTGGCTTTCCCTGGTGTGCTAGGCTGCGTCTGGTGGCTGGTTAGCAAACGCCAGCAAGAAATGATGTATTCCTGCAGCGCATGGCTGGGTAATGTGCAGCAGCAGGGAACTGAATAAATAACCAAATGTGGATTATTCAAATAGGAACACTGGGTTTTCTTGAGGCTAATTAAAGAAAAGCTCCAAAACTAAGAACGAGAGGGAAGCCTCCCTCTGCCTCGAGTACTAAGCTGCTAAGCTAGCCTTGCAGAACTAATTACTTGGAGTTCTTGTGCCATGTGGGTGGGACTCAGTGTTTGGATTTTTAATAGTTTTTTCCTCATTTTTGGACTCTACTGTTTACCACTCTCTGTACCAGGATCCCAGCTGGAAAACTATGACAAGAGGAAAATTTCTCCCTCGATGCATTTCCCGCCCCCCCCCCCCCCCCCCCCCCCGTACTTGTCCTACACTGCAAATGTAATCTAGAGAGAGCAGCACCTAGTTGGACAGAGAGAGTAAACTTCTTGCTTTGAGAATTGAAAGCGTTAAGCTGGTACTTTTATTGCTGATTCATGTTTTTCCTCTTTTGAAGAGCTGCGAACCGCTTTTCTTAGTATTTCACACTATCCATGTTGTTGACATGTCCGTTCATTCCTATACACAATTTTCTTTTTTTTGTCTTAATACTCCTAATGAATGAAACGTCAGGATTCTGACACAGGTAATCATGCATGTAACCTAAAATCAGTGAAATTGAAACCTAACATGTGAAATCAGTGATACTCAGCACATGCTTAAAGCTACTTCCATACTTCAGACTGACTGGCTGGGTCAGAGGCGCAGTGCTGTCCTGAAGATTTTACTTTTGGTAGGTGTGTATTTCCTTATCGCTGTTGTAAGCTTGCTTCTGGTAGGCATGACACAGACGTTACTGTATATGTGTTATTTAGGTAGTTAACTTAGATCTTCAGAACTGCAGAAATGCGGTGCTAAGCTCTGCTATTTCTTGGCATCTCTTGAAAACCAATCTTCTGGGTTTTAAGTTTTGGTGCTTTGTCAGTAGTAAGTGGTAAGAGTATGAATGATGTTAGAGTCAAGCGCCCTACGGAGAGCATAGGAGATGATTGAGGTAAAAGCACTGCTTTGTGGTGATGAAAATTAGGGAATGGATGCTGGGAGAAGGCGGCTACATTAGGAGGAGAAGCTTTGGGCATGCTCAGCTGCTGCCATGGGGGTACTTGCTTTTGCAGGTTGTGGTGTGATTGAAGGTAGAAAGCTCCGCTGGACTTAGCACTTTGGTGAGGAAAATAGAGCATGTTTCTGTAGCTTTCAAACCACCAAGCAAAGTAAAGTGTCTGAGAACTGACGCTGCAAGGTTTTGGTGTTTGTTTGCCTGTGGGTTTTTTACATGTTCTATTATCCAGAAGATATTAAATGGCTATTAATTCTGTTAACCTCTGTTATCATTGGGAGTTCTCTTAGTGTATGCTTAAAAGCTCTTACAGGTGCCCAGTTTTTCTGGGACAGTACTGCTTTGTTAACTGCAAGGCTAGCATTGTGAGTAGGGAGTGAACCTTGATAGTTGTGATCTAGAGAGCTGCAAGGGAGTATTACACTTCTGTAGCTTCTTGATACCTTCATGATAAAAAACAAAGAATAGAACTGCCATTCAGTTGTGATTGACCACCTCGCCCACAAACAAGGCAGAATATTTTTCTCTCCTGTCGGTGTCCTCTGAAGACTGGGGGGAGAGATCTGTTATTTTTTGTTTTTACTTTGAAGGTGGTTAATCATTGTACCATAGTCTGTGCAGATGAAAGGACAAATAAGCAAAGTTGAAAGTTTATTGACATGATGTGAGATAGATAAGCTGTGTGAGAATAAAGATATCAGACTTGAATCTCCATTACTGTCTTAGAGAACATAGCATTCTGTATCTAGTGCTACCCAATACATCTAGCCAAGTTGTTCTGTTAATAACAGTCATGCACACAGACCTGCAGAGAAGTATAGCATCTTTCAGCTGAGCATTTAACCTGCTCAAGAGATTCCTATAGACAGTAACGAAAACAGGACTACTTTCTGTTAAGCTGAGCCTTAAAATGTACGGCCAACAGTGAAAGATGATATTGTATTGTGTGAACTTCTCGTAGTTTATGGGGAGACAATGATAACACCTGAAAATGAGCACAATGTGGCTGATGTGCTTTATGTGCATGTCCATGGCAAGCCGTGTCCTGACTTGGTGTTGTGGTCTCGGACTTGCGGCGTTGAGGGGGACTTGCAGTTGGCCACTGGGAGTGGAGCTTCACCGAGCAGGTATGTGGGAGGTGAGCGGAGGGGTCTGGGAGAAGACCGGATTGAGAAGGACAGAACCTGTGACAGCAGAAATGAAATAGGAAGTTCTGAAGTAGGATGAGAGCACAGGTATATATAATTACTTGATTTGCATCTTTGCAACAACGGAGGCTCATTTATTTTATAGAGTGTCTTTATCAAAAATGAGATGGTTTTTCAAGGTGGTAGCCACCAGTGGAAAGTTTATAAATGTCACATAGAATTAAATTCGATTTTTTTTTTTTAGGTCAGGAAGCACTTTTTAGTACACAGTCCCTCGGCCTTGCCTTGGTAACCTAAATGCAGTTTACCTTACAAAGCTGAAAGAGAGAAAAACAGGCTTGTAATGTCAGTTCACTTGCGCACACTGACAGGAAGCTTATTGCTTTTGCTGTAAAATTGTGTTAAGGTTTGGAGGAGATGCAGCCATTCGCTTCCCAGGGGATATGTCAGGAAGATTCTCTGTTGCATAGGAAAAATGACGTGTGGCTTTCCCAGTTATTAACCGAAGCGCGTGTGTATGCATATAGACAAATGCAGCAAAGGGAGCTTACGGAAGCGTGCATCACTTGGGCAACACGATCTTCTATTCTGCAGCTATTCAGTGGCTTTTGTTGACCCTCAGAAAAGCATTTGCTCCTGTACAGCAAAAACGAGGTGAAAATGGACAACTCTGTCCGGCTGCCCAAAGCTTGACTATAGCTATTTCAGGGTATATTTTTTATGATTATTAAAATCCTTTTATGTTTTCTTGTCCTGCTGTTCCTAATGACCCCATGGAAACTTAGACTATCTCTTTACTAAATCTTCTGGTTAATTAAATGGAACCATTTTATGCAGCACTTTTCCAGGAAATCCAGTATTCTGCTTTTGCTAGTATTTGGGAAAGTGAGAGATTGTGTTATGTTAATGTAGAAAGTCCAAATAATGTTAGCCCCCTGAAGAGGGCTTTAAACTAAAGTTGCTGGGAGAGGGGAACCTCAATCCTACCAGTTTGATGCCAGTGCCAGCAGTAGGTGCCCAGAGCCTGGAGAAGGATCATGGGTCAGCAGGAGAGCGCCTGAAGAGCAGCAAAAAGGAATTCCAGCCACTCCAACCAGTAAGTCGTCTTCGTCGGGGGCCCAACTTAAATTCCTCTATGCAGACGCACGTAGCATGGGGAATAAACAAGAGGAGTTAGAGACCTGCGCACGCCTGCAGGGCTATAATCTTATTGGCATCATGGAGACGTGGTGGGATGGCTTCTATGACTGGAGTGTTGGAATGGAAGGATACAGGCTTTTTAGGAAGGACAGGCAGGGGAGACGAGGAGGGGGTGTCATCCGCTATGTCAGTGACCAGCTGGAGTGCATGGAGCTCCACCTGGGGATGGATGAGGAGCCAACCGAGAGCTTATGGGTCAGGATTAAAGGGAGGGCAGGGACAGGTGACATTACAGTGGGGGTCTGCTACAGGCCACCCAACAAGGAAGACCGAGCGGACGAGGCCCTCTGTAGGCAGATAGGAGCAGCCTCATCTTCACAAGCCCTGGTCCTCATGGGGCACTTCAACCACCCCAATATCTGTTGGAGGGACAACACATCAGGGCATAAACAATCCGGGACGTTCCTGGGATGCGCTGATGATAAATTCCTTCTCCAAGTGATAGAGGAACCAACGAGGAGAGGTGCTATGCTGGACTTTATTCTCACCAACAAGGAGGGGCTGGTGGGAAATGAGAAGCTCGAGGGCAGCCTTGGCTGCAGTGACCATGATCCTTAGGGCACCAAGGAGGGTGCATAGCAAGCTTACTACCCTGGACTTCAGGAGAGCAGGCTTTGGCCTCTTCAGGGATCTGCTTGGTAGAGTACCATGGGATAAAGCGCTGGAGGGAAGAGGGCCCCAAGAAAGCTGGTTAATATTCAAGGATCACCGCCTCCAAGCTCAGGAGCGATGCATCCCAACAAAGAGGAAGTCAGGCAAAAATGCCAGGAGGCCTGCATGGATGAACAAGGAGATTCTGGGCGCACTCAAACACAAAAAGGGAGCCTACAGAGGGTGGAAGCAAGGACAGGTAGCCT